AGAAACAATCTATCCGGGGATCCGGCAGTTCCCCTCCAGGGTGCAATCAAAGGTGCAGCTACAGGACGTGAACGCAGGATGCCAAGGAGACGTGCGATTCAGGCTGACTGCACCAGTGTCCGCAGCCGTGCCCGCGCGGGAAGCCGTGTCCACGCAGGCGAGAGCCGCGAGGAGAGGCCTGCACACGCTGGGCGCTATTCACACGAGAACGAGGACACGCTGCCAAGTGTGACGACAAGGGTGACCCTGAGGACACTGCCACGGGAGGTAAGTCGAGCAGCGAGTGAGAAAGACAACTGCCGCAGGGTCTCCGCGCGGAAGGAAAGCAGCCCCCCTCGTGGAAACAAGAGCAGAACGGCGGTTAAGGGGCTGGGGATGCGGCCGCTGGGGAGATGTTGTTTAAGGGCACAAACTTGCAACAAATAAGCCCCGGAGACCTAATTGCCTACGAGCAGAGTCATGGGGACAGATGGCGGGGCCGCGGTTCCAAGACCAACAGCGTGCTGGGGCGACACCGGCCATGCCCTTCTTTACCTTGGCAGTCTCCTGCCCGCACCTAAATATAGATGCCTTTGCAGGGTGGGCATGTGCCCGCTGCTACAGAGCCGGCCTGTGGAGACGGGCAGGCGTTAAGACTAGAAGCTTTTCGCTACGTGTCGCCGGGATCTCAATTTCCCTTCTTGTTCAGATCAAAGCCCCTCACGGGCGGGTGGAGAGGAAGGCCGGGCTGGGGAGGGCACAGCCATGGCAGCCGCCATGCGGGGAGGCGGCCTGGGCCCCAGGCCCCGGGAGGCGCTCAGAGGCCCAGAGACGCCCCCCGCCCCCTCGGCGTCCCGCCTCTCCGACCGTGGACACGGGGCCGCGAGGTGCGATCTGGGTTGCTCCTCCGGCTCCAGCTCGAAAGGGCTTCCACGTTTAAGAGCAGCAACAAAGGGTCGTTTGCCCGCCTGCCAGACAAGAACTATTTTAAAACCCACGCTGCAAGCCGGCGTGCTCTGCCTCCACTTTCCTGCTTTGTGGATGAACAACAGGGCTCGGCTGAGAAGGCCCCGTTTCGGAGAACAGAGAAGGGGCCACGGCAGCTTCAAAAACAGGGCATCTTTAAAGCTCTGTGTGTGCCCCCCAGCTCCACCATCTTCCAGGAAGCAGTTTTTAATGACAGCTTTTAGTCACGGCAGAAGAGGTTCTGCTTCAGAGCATTTCCACGGCGGCCGGCGTCTTCCACAGGACGGGGTGGGGTGTGCTCAGTCGTCCCAAACCACCCTGACCCTGACCGGGGCCCGCAGCTTTGCTCGGCCTCACACCTGAGCAGAACAGCAGCCCGCAGCTAGCGTGGCGCCAGTTCTGTGAGCTCGCGCTTAAAAATCACTTTCTCCTTCTTAAATGGCTGCAAGCGGCCGGGAAGAGCCGTGCCGAGGAGGCTTACGGAATAAACAACCGCGATGAGATCGGTTTCTCTGGCCGGGTCTTGCTCAGCTGAAATGAACCGGCAGAGATGATGAAAGGCGCGGAGCAGGGCCCAGGGCAAGCGGCTGGGTGGGCTGTGGTCTCTGGAGACCCAGAATGCTCCCGGCCCCGCCCCCTGCCCCCCACTGTGACGACTGGTGCACAGGGGAGGGGGGGGGGTAGGTGTGGCTGCCGATGGAGGAGCCCAGGCCCATAGGCATCCTCTCAGCTCTGCCCAACCGTACCCCTGCAGCTGTCCCTTATCGGGGTCACTTCTCCCTCTTTCCTGCTCAGGCTGGGGCCTCCCCTCCCCCTCACCTCGGAGAAGCCTCCCAAGTTAGCATCCTGGCCCCTGGAGCGCAAGAAGCCAGGCCACTCCGGGGGCTCGGGGATGGGCACAGACACACCAACAACTCAGGTCCTGCTCCCCAGCCCTTCTCTGCCACTGGCAAAACCACTGGTTTTTTCCTGCCTGCTGAGTACCTGCCTGTGAGACGCTGGTAAACACGAGTCAGCCCTTACCAGCTCCGTCCTCCCGGGGGCGGCATGCCTGACCTCATCTCCTGGGAGAGTCTGTTCTCAACCCGCAGCCCTGTCTGCCCCCAGCTCATCCCTCCACAGCCCTGAGTCCCCCACCCCTGAGTACACTGTGCGTCCTGTCTGCTCACCGCAGGGAGGCCCCTCCAGACCAGCTCACACCTCACACCACGCTCGGCACCCACAAACACGGAATCACTGGATCTGAAACTGCACAGCAAGGACCTGCTGAATGAGGGTGTAACTGGCACCGATCACGCCAGCTGGAAGGGGCAGCACCTACAGCCACTCCCAGGGCCACGCCCAGGGCGCAGGAGGGACAAGCCCCCAGGCACACAGAAGGGGCAGCAAGAAGCGAGGGGCTGGTCCAGTTATTAAGAGGAGCTGCAGTGAGGCAATCACGGCTACAAGGGGGCGATGGAAGGGGGGATGGGGGCTCCGGTGACCTCAGAGCAGCAGGCACAGTCTGAGATGAGGTCTGGGGAGGGTGCCAGGAGGACAGAATTTGGATTTTTCTTGCATTTCTGCTTTCAATTAAAGTAAATCCTGACTTCTCAATTTAGGATCCAAGTTTTCAGAAAACTGATAAAAATAGGACTGGACATTGCTTCCGGGCGCGGACTCAGCTCAGGCTGTGACGCTCTCACAGAAGAGAAGGGGGCGTCTCCAAAGTGTACCTGAGAGGGCCCAAGGCCCGACTGGCCCGTGAAGCAGAAGGTGCCTGCAAACACCGGTCAGGCCGCGGCGTGCAAGGGCTCGCAGGCTCTCGGGCCCAGGGAGCCGCTCTGACAAATGGATTAATTGTTCGGAGCAGACAGCGTCTGTTTAGTCATGTCTGCAGAGGTGGGAGGGCATGACCACACCAGTGCTGGTGCGGCTATTTCTGACGGGTCACCCAGTCCCCTGGCTGCTGCTCAGGGCCGAGGCCCCGCCTGCTGCTCACTGGCTCTCAGAGGAAAGGGGAGGGGGAGCCAGCCTGGGGGCGCTGCTCACTCATCAAGAAGGTGGCGCTCAGTGCTGGTGGGTGGGAACGGCCTAGAGCAAGGGACGAGGTCAGGGGCCTACAGCTGACATCATCACAGGGGCACCTTGGCCCTGCACCCGCGGACCCCAAGACGAAATCAACAAGGCTGGCTTTTGAGGTGCCCCGGAAGGTGACCCTCGGATTCTCATTTCTGGTCCTGCCTTCCACCCCTTCACATGCCCACTGCCCACTCCACAGGGCACTCCCTGCTGTCACCAGAACATCACCACCACCCACTGCCACCATGCTTTCAGTGCGTGACTGCCCCCCAGGCCTCCCTTCCAGAAAGGCCCCCACACCGCTTGTCCCCCACAATGGTCTGGCTCGCTTTGGAGTTCTGAGTCCAACAACACTCATGACTCCCTCCTGGCGGCTCCATTCCCGCCACCCTGTCTGAACACCTACATGCACTCTGCACTGTCTGCCTACAGGCTGGCAGTTAGGCCAATGTCAGAGAAAAGCCCTTTTCAAGGTCTCCAGAGGTGCTGGCACTTGAGGCCGGCCATGACAACGGCTGGGCGGTAGCCCCCTGAAGGCAGGCGGGCCTGTGCGTGAAGGTCCGCGCTACTGAACTCACCGCGCCTACATGCACTAGCAGGGTCTGCTCCTTGCTGCGTTTTCTGAAAACAAGGCTGGCTGCAGACAACCGTGCCTCGTGAAATGACGACCTTTCGAAAACAAACTACAACAGTAAGCAGAACCATGTTTCGTTACCATGATCATTTTCTTTGCTACAGCTATTTCCCACGGTCTCCCAAATGAGAGCGTGACGGAGAGCCCGCAACGCAAGTGGAAGTGACGCACACGTGACCTCCCACGGACAGGCCAAGCGGGAGGTTTAATGATTCAGGCCCACAGACTGGGAGACTAGATGCGCACGGTTGGCTCCTCGGGTGTTTCTGCAGAGATGAGGTGTCCGATGTGGAAGCAGGAGAGCAGGACACTGTTTCCTGTGCGGCTGACGTGCTTCTAGAGCAGAAATTTCTTAAGTTCTGCTATGATTGTTTCCTGAGTCAACTCCATGGGCTTGAGCATCATCACAGCCGTGCCCATGAACACAGACCTATCGTGCTTCCCTGCGACCCCCACACACAAATCATGTGGGCATAGCCCCAGGCTGCATTCCCAGAAATGCAGAGAGTGCTGAGACAGGCAGAGGACACTGGCTTTGTCAGGAATGCAAAGATGGGTCAAGATTAAAAAAAAAACAAAAAAAACTAACTTAACATACCACACACTGTTTTTTATGAAAGGGTGTAAATAGCTCATTGATGCAGGAAAAGTTCCTAATGTTCCCTCACAGTTTTAATAAAACAGCAGAAACAAAGAAAGAAAGAAACAAAGAAAGAAATAATAACCAAGAAAAAGGAAAGAGGTAAACCAACTGGAGGAGTCCAAACTATCGTTATTGGCAAAAGACAATGATTATCCGTGTGGAAAGTCTAAAGGGTTTGCAGAAAAACCACTAGGATGATCTTCTTGGATATAAAATCAACAAACACAAAAATCAACCGTTTTGCTGGTATCAGTAAAAACAACCAATTTGAAAAAAAATAACTAAGAAATAGGGGCCTCTGAATAATCTGGATGTGAGTGAGCAACACAGTTGCAGGAGTCCTGTGTGAGGGTCACGGCCATCGGGCGGGGACGAGGCAGCAGCACGTGCGCGTCTGTGACAGGGAGGAGCACGCTGGGAAGGGCAGGGGCGTGCAGGGGGCACAGGGCTTCTTCTTGGGGAGATGAAAATATTTTAAAATCGATGACGATGCTGTAGACCGAAAATCCCAAACACAATGACCTGTCCATCTTGAGGGCGACACGCACCGTGTGTGAACTATTTCTCAATAAGGCCGTTACTGGGGCCTCCCTGGTGGCGCAAGGGGTTAAGACGCAGCCTATGAAGCTGTCCACAGCCACTGCAGCACGAGTTCCGTCCCCAGCCAGGGGGCTGCCCACATGGCACAACAGCCCTCTCCTTCCTCGCCCGCCCGCTGCTCCCCTCACCAGTGCGCTTCGGTCAATCTGCCTGTTCTGTTCCCCACTCTGTCTCTGGTGAATCCTCTCACCCCCACATCTCTGGCCTGTGCCCCAGTTCTTGTATGCATAAATAAATAAGTCTTTAAAAAAATAAAAGCCATTATTAAAAAAACACAAAGACCCCCAAACAAAAAAAGAAAGTTCTCTGGGCTGACCCAGAACTAGGTAAAACGTCGTCACCTGCTGACATTTTTCCTGAAAGGCACCATCCCTTTTCCGCTTTCACCTTATGGCAGTCTGTGGAACTACCGCTAGCTCTGTTTTACGGTGGGAAAAATGGAAAGACAGAGATAAGGCTGTTCTGGAAAAGCTTCACGGGGAAGCTTTTATATGACTGCTTGCCCGAGAGAGGGGAATCTAAAGAAGGGCAGGGCGCCGAAGGATCAAAGCCGACAGGTCTAGTAAGGAAGAAAAAAGGAGGGAGATGGTTAGGCTGGAAACTCCCTGAAGTCAAGAGTTCTTTCATCTGTGCCCTCGTATCTAGCCAGGGTCTAGCCCAAAGGAAGAGTTCAGAGATACCTGTTTAACACATAAGCAAGTGAATAAAAGAAGAACAACTAAACAAAAGAAATATATATATTTTGGTCTTTGTCCCGGGCTCCTGGCCAGAGCTCGTGAATCCTTTGCAATTCCCTCACCGATGAAGGTGCTAGGAGCATCTTCTGTCCTTCTGCTTGGTCTTTGAACCTGGTTCCTGAAATAGCTAATCCCATGAAATTTATGGGTGACGAGAGTGTCTTCTGCTCTCGGCAGGCGACTCCCGGGGGGGCCTGCTGCTGCAGGCGAGGGGCCGGTTACCAGAAAGGCCAAACCAGACACAAGCTTGGAACCTTCAGCCCGTTTCCATCTCTGGGGAAGACAGAGGGGCAGGAAGTGGCGTTAGCAACTGACCCCCCCCATAAGACGAAGCCTCTGTACACATGGGGCTTGGAGAGCTCCTGACCCGTGAGCAGTGGAGGTGCCGAGAGGGGCTTGCCCTGGAGGGCAGGCCTCGTCCTCTGCACCTCTCCCCCCGAGCGGTTCCTTAGTTACATAACTAACTGGTAACTGAGTAAACAGCTGTTTTTCTCAGTCTGAGAGTTGTTCTAGCCAATTATTCAACCTTCACTGTGCCGCCAGGTCAGACAGGACTAGTGGGTCACCTGAGGACCCATTACTAGCAACTGGGGTCTGCAGTGGGGGGTGGAGGTGACGTCTTGTGGGACCCAGCCCTTGGCCAGGCAGCCAGTGTTAGAATCCAGCAGCCCCGTGGGACACCCAGCTGGCAATCCGAGGAGGTGGAGACTGCCATGCCCGGATTACAGGAGTTTGTTATGAGGAGGGAGAACGGCTCTTCCTTTTCTGAGTCCAGTCAACTAACCCAGTCAACTAACCCTGTGAGAGGCAGTGTCTATCTTACACATGAGGAAAATAAAGGCTCTGATGGCTCAACGAACAAGTGACTGTCCATACAAGGACGGAGTAAAAACGTCACACCAACAGTTCACAGCCACCCTTATGAGACAGGGGTGCTTTGTTTCTTCTCCTCAGGAAATAACTAATGTCAGTTCTGAGCAGACAGAGAAAAAACTGCCCCGAAGTTCCACTGCCAGCCTGGCGCAGCCAGGGGGAGGCAGACCTGGGGTCTACACATCGGCTCACTCATCTGTGAAGTGCAGACCCTCACCTGGATGCCGGGGTGGGGGCTGCTGCAGACCTTAGACATCCTCTTTGCAGAGAAACACGCAGCAGCGGCCACCACCCTCGAGGCCCTTCTCTATCATGTGCCACCCCTGCCTCTCCAGCCTGGGCTCCCAGCGGGGACAGCCCAGGCCTTGCTGCTCTGCCGGTGGCAGGAAGGAACTGCCTCCCTCCATCTCCGGGCTAGAAATTCCGTTAACCCGAGCCCCGGTTAACCCGGGGGAGCACAGGGAGCCTGCCAGCTAGACCCCTGGAGGAAGGGCACACCAAATGGCGCGGAGATTCGGGGGTGCTTTTGATGGAGGCATTCCTGTGAGAAAAACAGAGAATGTCTCAAACTGCTTTTGAACTGAGACTTTTAAAACTGGTTTGTCTGTTGTGGCCTGGGGCTGCATACTTGAGACGATAAAAGCAGCTCTTTCAACTCAACTGAAAATCAAAGCGTTCCCACAGCTAGTGTGAGCAGGCAGCAGCTTACGGTATAGAGAGGGTGGGGGCTGGGCTGGCCCGGGGTGCAGAGAGCACCGGAGACCGGACGCACAGGTGATGTCCCTTCTCCACCCCTTGCCCCGGGTTTGCCTGGTCCCACCTTTTCTGGTTTTTCCATGTGAGCAACTACCATTTCGACTGTCATCAGAGATCAAGTGTGGTGTAATTACTCCAGCGCAACAAGGTGCAGTTTTGTTTCACGAACCAACATTTTAAAACCTTTGTTACTGCTCAGTGCCAGCATCGCCAGGGATGCAGCAAATCAGGTTTCCCCGAAACCCCACTGGCCCAAAGGCACCTCAACAATTAGGGCTCCCGGGGACCACCAGCAGGGCAGATTTCCCCATTACTCTAAATCAAACACTTCGGGGCACTGCACCTGTGCCCAAAGACGCACTGGGACGGATTCGTGCGTAAGGGAAAATGTAGAGCTAGAGACAGGCCAGGTGGACGGGGCACGCACGACGGTCATCAGGACCAGGGTGGACCACCTTGGGTAAGTGTCTCATGAAGTTCATTTTCACAGAATCGAGCCCCCTTCCAGCTGAGAATAAGGAGGGGTGAGGGGCTCGTTTACAAGCCACCAGTGCAACACGCTGACCCTTACAACTTGAGGTGTGACCTTCAGCTGGTGTCCCCAGCGCTTTCTGTGCGACGGGAAAGCTTGCCGTCAACAGCGACAAGTTGCCAGAGACACACAACTGCACCAGGCTCTCGGAGAGGCCCAAAAAGCTATCTGGTGTCCACTGTACGGATGAGGAAACAGGCTGCGGGCAGAAAGTGAGCGGCTTGAGGCCACGGGGCAGGCAGGGGCGCGGGTGCTGGGCAGAAGGTGGGCTGGGACTTGCCCTCAGTGCCGCGTGACCCCAGATCCAGAGTTGGGCCCTGGTTTGTGAGTCAGGCCTCCTGCCACGGGTTCTTACAGCGCCCAGTCGTCCTGCATGTCCCAGCAGCCCCGCTCAGGTGCCCTGGGCTGAGGGCAGGGCGGGCAGGCGTGAGCTGCCACCCGTAGTGGGCGCTCAGAGGTGGTCTGAACGTTGGGGCTTGTTTGAATTCCTTACTCACAGTCACAGGGAGCTGCCCAGCAGACATTTCTAAGGTTGCGTGCACCACTGCGACAGAATTTAGTCTAAACGTCATTAATAACCATGTCTGTCGCCTGGGGCAGGACCCCTCCAGCGCCAAGCTTCTCCTGGACCCCGCTGAGGCACCAAACCAACCCGTAGAGCGTGACCTCCATGAGGCGCAGCTGCCTGTCTGGCGGCCTGGTAGGTCCGGAGCTCACTCAGGAATTCCCCTGCACCCCCTAGCACAGACCCTCTTCTAACCGACCACAAAGCCACCCCTGCGTAGGAGGCAGGTGTGAAGACACAACAGGTGGGAAGGCCATGACCCTTGACTTTAAGGAACCCCGACATCCCACCCGATATCTCCCACCGGTCTCTGGTGAGGCCAAACCCTTCCTCACGGAAGTTTCCAGACAGAAGCCATCACATGAAAATTGGTGAAAGGGCTTCAGAGGCATAAAAATCTCCTCCTGAGACAACCCTGTACTGCTGGGCTAAGGACGTGGCTTCTGGGCATAGATCTGCAAAGGGACGGGCTTGGTCACTGAGCAGCTGGGGATGTGGGGGCCGGTGTCCTTCACACTTGGTCCCTCGGTGCTCTGGACATAGGCCGCTTCAACAAGATGAGGGTCGGAAGAGAAGCTGCCTGGTGGGTGGTGGCGAAGAAGGAGGACACGAGGACGGGTGCAGCTACCCACCTGGTCACTGCCAGCGGCAGCCGTGGGGCAGGGTGGGCACCCCCAGAGCCCTGGCCATGCAGCCTGAAGCCACTGTGCCAGTGAGGTGTGTCCTCTGACCTCCCCAGGGAGGAGGAAGGCTCTGCACTGTGCGGGGTGTCTGTCTCTGCCTAGGCCAGATGGCCTCAGGGACAGGATGGAGCCCGTTTTTCTCAGTGCCCCAAGATTCCTCTGTGCTTCAGCCGCTGTCCTTCCTCTCCCGAGGCCCTGGCACCCAGTGGTCTGTTCACTGTCTCCATGGTTTTGCGTTTCCCAGAATGTCATGCAGTTGCCATCACACAGGATGTGGCCTTTTCCGGTAGGTTCCACCCAGTAACGGACACCAAGGTCCTCTCCTGGCTCGGAAGGTCGTCTCTTTAGTGCTGAGTAATGGCCCATGGTCTGGATGGACACGGCTTACTTTTCCATTCGCCTGCCGAAGGACATCTTGCTTCTTTTCAAGTGTTGACAATTATGATTAAAGCTGCTAGGAACAGTTGTGTGCAGGCTCCTGGGTGTGACCTTAAGTTTTAATTCCTTTGGGTAAATACCAAGGAATGGCATTGTTGGTGGGGGTACGAGCAAGGTCGGTCTTTTGAGAACCTGCCAAACTGTCTTCCGAAGAGGACGTGCGCCGTGTGTGCCCACGGGCCACGAACGAGAGCTGCTCCACCCGCTCGCCATCAGGGGTGTGGCCTTCCTCGCAGGAGTGTGGTGGCAGCTGTGACTTGATGTGCGACGATGTGGAGCCTCTTCTCACGGACTTTCCGCTGGCGAGGTCAGGACACGCTTGTTCAACTCAGATCCTGGACACCTAGCAGTGGCTGGCACAGAGTTGGTGCTCAGCAACCACCAGCTTAGAAATGTCGTATGTTAAACAAAATTCAAAGGAACGTGAGCTGTTCCCAAACACACGTCCCCAGCCCGTGCCTTCCTCCAGGTCAGCCCGCTCTGGGGTCTGCCCGTGCGTAGGCTGACGAGGCTGGTTCCGGCTTTGTGGCGCGCGGCCTCTCTCGTGACCTTGGCTCAGGGAGAGCGTCTGCCCTTCTACCTCTCGTTAAGCTCTACGCTCTTTGAGGGGGAGGCCCCACCTCAGACACTTTAAATATTAGTTTAAAAATTTACATAGGGTTAAAAACAGCTTTTTGGGGGGAATAATTCTGATCCACAACACACATACATGCCTACAGAACCCCCACCACACCTCACTGTCGAGCCTTTCACTGCCCCGGGACAGCGACCGAGCTAATGCTACACCGGAGCCAAGCTGAAGAGAATTGCCTCATTTTTCACACTGGAAAGTGGCAAGCTTTATCATGTGCTTTCTATTGAATTAAAAGTGAGCTTCAATTTATGTCAAATCCTCTCGGGAGCTAAGTATTTCAAAACCTTGACCAGATACACTTGGCAGATTCTCTGAATTGGAACGTTCCCTCTTCTCACCATTCTGCCCTCGGACGCCATCACCCCGATCCAATTCACTTTCCCAAAGGCTCCCCAAGCCCACAGTGGCCTTTCCCTTCTCGGAATGCTCCTCGCTGATGCGTAACCCTATCCTGCCGCGCCTCCACCAAGTCTTTCCAGTTCTCCGCGTGGCTAACCCTGGGTCATGCCAGGCTGGATGAACTCACGCTGGCCCCCCAGCTCTTAAAAACAGGGTTCTCATTGCCCCACTCAGTCCATGGTCAACAACAGAAACAGACGCAGGCTGCACTTCTGAGCCTGGGCCTTCCTGGCAGCCAGCGGTTTACACGACGCAGTCATCCTAGAGTGGGCGAAGGACAGCGAGGACATGGGGGTAGTTCCGTGTGGCTGACAGTGGGCAGGGAGGCAGCCACCCCTCCTGTCTCCTTTTCTCAGAGGGAAATCACTGAGTTCCTTCTGCCGAGGGGAACAA